CTTTTTTTTTTTTTTTTTTTTTACTACAATCACGTTATTCGGAGCTTTTCATCTATACATATATATTCATATATTCATTTCTGAGGCTTTTGAAAGCTGGAAGAACGGTGTAACAGTTGGGATCTGGTTGGGGAAACTTTTGTGCACTCGTTTATAATTATTTTTGCACCTTCACCTTTTTAGTAAACAGAACTTGGCAAAGGTTTTTATTTTATGATGGTAAAAGCAATGCCAATGCACAGATATCTATATATTTGAATCAGACTTCAGATCTGTTTAGATTTTGACCGTTTTTCTTTAATTAAGATGTTCTACCTTCAACTCTCTGAGAAATATATTCAAAAGAATTATGTGCAATAAATCTTTTATGAGTTTGAATGAAAGTAATTATAATAATAATAAATCATTTTATACTGCGTATTTCCATTTTCTAAAAAATGTTCAACGCGCATTACATCGAAAAAGACATCACATCTTAAAAATTAGTCGACATACGCGTACGTAAAACAAAGTATTATGCATATAATATCTATTTTGTATGAGATTTGTGACATCATAATATGGCACACCACCAGCACCAGTGGCGTGTCGATTAGCTTCCTTGCTGTTGCACGTGGAAGACGTGGGTTCAATTCACACAAAGAGAAGTTTTAAAAAATATTTTCAGTCCATCTACTAGAATGCGCCATCCCATTCAAACTGACTTTGGCACTTTCAGTCAGTGTCAGAGCAGCCTGCTTTCTACACAACCTAAATAGTGTTGATGGGGGCGTAAAACATTGACAATCAAACAGCTAGTTACTGTCCTTGTCCAGTATGTTTCCAAACGGGCTGACTGTGGGTGGGAAGGGTCCCATTTCCCCTCTGGTGGTTGACTGGGAACTGGTAACTGTTGCTGAAGTGTATTGACTGAGAATTGTTAACTGTTGCTGAAGTGTATTGACTGGGAACTGTTGCTGAAGTATATTGACTGGGAACTATTAACTGTTGCTGAAGTATATTGGCTGGGAACTGTTGCTGAAGTATATTGACTGTTAACTGTTGCTGAAGTATATTGACTGAGAATTGTTAACTGTTGCTGAAGTGTATTGACTGGGAACTGTTGCTGAAGTATATTGACTGGGAACTATTAACTGTTGCTGAAGTATATTGGCTGGGAACTGTTGCTGAAGTATATTGGCTGGGAACTGTTGCTGAAGTATATT